GCAAGTGGCAAAGGGCCAATTGCTTGAACAGAGGAATTTATGTGTGATCTCCTTGCAGATGATGCTGAGAGGTCCGCGTGGAATGCCCGGTCTGGCAGGCCTTTCGGGCGCTCAAGGACCTGCTGGTCCACCTGGCCCTAAAGGTGATCAAGGACCCCAAGGTGACCCTGGATTTACTGGTCCTGCTGGTCCACGAGGTCATCCCGGACCTAGGGGACCAATTGTGAGTCTCTTCCTTCAAATTCTCAAATTATCGCTAGATTTTATCCATTTTTCTCAACCACTTAGTGTTGTAAAACTGATTTTGCAAGTCGCCACAAATCATTAAGTTAAGGAGCGAGGAACATGACAAATTTTTCCACATTTTGCTGTCGTATTTATAGGGTCGTGCGGGTCGTGACGGAGAGCCTGGAGTAATGGGACTGCAAGGCCCTAAAGGCGACCCCGGTGCCGCTGGTCTGCCTGGTTTGCCAGGACCCCGTGGTCACAAGGGTGAAGATGGCCCTCCAGGTGAGAAAGGCGCCCAGGGAGAGCGCGGTCCCACGGGTCCTACAGGTCGAGAAGGTGAAGTCGGACCCACTGGCGAACAGGGCCCTCCTGGCTACCCGGTGAGCCCTTAGCTTTTAAAAAGTTGCAATATTTAATTCAAATACGGTATTCCACCATTTTGTGCAACTATTAACAACATTAACAAATTTAAGCCAAAATAAACTAAACTCTGAAGTCGAGTGGAGTGTATTTAGAAAAATATGAAAGTAGTTCAACGTAAGTGTGGAATTCTCCCAATCTGAACTTTTAACTTCTTCAGTTTCTTATTGTCTGATTTCATTCTCTCCAAAATCAGGGTCCTGCTGGTCCACCGGGGCAGCCGGGAATTCGTGGCCTCCCCGGCCCTATGGGACCACCTGGTCCGAAAGGTGACATAGGTGACACCGGTCCGGTGGGTCCGACAGGTCCTGCTGGTCCTCCCGGTCCCCCTGGAGTAATGGGACCGCAAGGCGAACGCGGTATTCCAGGTATGCCTGGACGCCGTGGTGATCCCGGTGTTGCTGGAGTGGCTGGAGCCACTGGCCCCACTGGCAATCCTGGTGCTCAAGTGAGTAATCGCTCTCCCGGAAGGGTAGCAGTACAACTAATTTATTTCAGAATTGGGATTTCATCCAATTCTCAGTGCAGTTTGGCTATGAAGGTCTTTTGAAAAAAAATTAGTTAAATTTGACATTAATATATCCAAAGTACTGATTAGCTAAACAAAAGAACTGACATTAGCTGTGATAGCTCATAAGAATTGAAACTGCTCGTTTCTTGGGGTGATGGGAATTACTACTGGCTTATGAGTATTTGCAAAGTATAAATTCTCTTCTTTTAGGATTGATTGTTTGCAATATTGGAGCAGAGATGGAATAGACAAAATTATAAGATCTACAAGCTAACATGAGCTAGATAGCACAAACGC